CTTGGCTTATTAATCATGAGAAGCATGCATTAACAACCCAAGTTTACTACCATTGAAAGAACCGAATTAATAACAAGCGTATTAACCGATTGATTCTAGTAATAATTAATATATGAAACAAAACTAGTTGATCCTTTAAGTAATGTTCAAAATATTAATATGAAATATGAATAGGAATTAATTAATACTCAAGGAAGAATATTAAAGAAGATGAATCCTACTATAGTTAATATCAAGATGTTAACTAATTGTCATCTTAGTAACACTCCCCAATATTAACATAGAGGAAGAAATAGCTATTACTATAACTAATGTCAAGATGTTAACTAATTGTCATCTTAGTAACACTCCCCAACATTGATATAGAAATAGTATTTAAAGGAAGAATTAATATTCAAGGAAGAAGATTAAAGAAAATAACTCACAACTTACAAATTCATTAAGCTTCAAAGTAGCAAAACCAAGATGGAAGAGTTTAGCTCCTCATTTGGAGACTAAACATGATAGAAAATATAAAGAAAACACTAATCTAAACTGAGCTAAAGAGTATATGTGAATTGGTGTCCTAAAAGTGAAGGAAAGGAGGTGTATTTATAGGCTTTTTGAGGTGCAGGTCGAGTATTCGATCGAGTATATATACATACTCGATGGAGTATGTGTAGAACATCGAATTCGCCATATACTCGATCAATACTCGGGTAGTTTTATAGCTATACCCGATCGAGTATATAAGTATACCCGATCGGGTATAGACACTCGAACGTGGGAAAATCTTCTCCTGCATGTTCCTTTGTTTTCGGATCCGATCCGATTTGAAATGTCAACCAGATACCCGATCGAGTATATGTATATACTCGACCGAGTATAGACCAAAATCAGGATTTTTCCTTCTTTTTGTCTTGTATTCTTGCACCTTCCTTCACCATTGATCATTTGATTGATCTTGGACCTGTTTAAGCTCAGAATAAACCTAATCTAAACAAATTACAAGAATTTAACAAACTAAACTATTACACCGAAAGTGTGTAATTTCCGAAATATTAAACAACCAAAACTATCTAAAAACGTAAATAAACACACGGAAATTACAAACATATCAGGAGGCGAGACAGATTCTTGGGATGAGCATAGTCAGAGACAAGGTGGAAGGTACTTTAAAGCTTTCACAGCAGAAGTACATTCAGAAAGTCCTTGAGAAGTTCAGAATGACGGATGCCAAGCCAAGGAGTACACCTTTAGGGAGTCAGCTGAAACTCTCCAAGCAGCAGTCTCCAAAGACCAATGAAGACAAAGATGAGATGGCTAAAGTCCCTTATGCATCAGCCGTTGGCAGCTTGATGTACGCAATGGTGTCAACAAGGCCGGACATTGCTCATGCAGTGGGAGTTGTTAGCAGGTTCATGTCGAATCCAGGGAAGGAACATTGGGAAGGAGTCAAGTGGCTGCTACGCTACTTGAAAGGCACTTCTGGAACTGCTCTTTGTTTCAGGAGGAATGGAGTAGTTCTAGAAGGATTTGCTGATGCTGATTTGGGGGGCTGTTGTGATTCCGGGAAGAGCACTACGGGTTACATATTCACAATTGGAGGTACGACGATCAGTTGGATGTCTAGACTTCAAAAGAGTGTGGCTCTTTCGACCACAGAAGCAGAGTATATGGCCATTGCTGAAGCGGCCAAAGAGTTGATCTGGTTGAAGAACTTTCTTTCGGAGTTGGGCATGGAACAGGGGGATTGCGGACTGCACTGTGACAACCAGAGTGCCATTCACCTCGCGAAGAATCCAGTGTTTCACAGCAGAACGAAACACATCAAGATGCGATACCATTTTATCCGAGAGTTGATTGAAGACGGTATCATAAACTTGAAGAAGATCCTTGGTACGAAGAATCCAGCAGACATGCTTACCAAGGTGGTGACAACGGAGAAGTTGAAGCTATGCATGGCTTCAACTGGCCTTCCAGATACTTGATGGGAAGGTGTGAACGAGAGATAGAGATCAGGGGTGTTGCAGAGGATACATGTTCTTGGATGGCAGATGACTGTTTAACAAGCCTCCAAGTGGGAGATTGTTGAAGATGGAGCCTTGTTTGGAATGCAGGAGTATATACCCGACCGGGTATGTTGGGTTACCCGATCGGGTATGAGGTGTTTGATGGCTCGAGTATTTCCCTGGTTTCTACACTCGATCGAGTATTGATCATTACTCGGTCGAGTATGCGTGTAAGGGTTACTCGGGTTATATTCTGGAGTTTATACTCGATCGAGTATGGAGGTATACTCGGTCGAGTATGTGTAAAAACACTACTCGGGCAGAATTCTGGAATCTATACTCGGTCGAGTATGTATGTATACTCGATCGAGTATACGGGAAAAATTAATGACGGGATTAATTTTTGGGCCTGCGGCCTTAACCCTTATTTAGGCTTTCTTAAACCTATTTAAACATCCCTAATGTATCTGTAAACACACCAGACGCCGGAATAATAATATATCTCTCTCTCGTTCGTCGTGGACTAGCGTAATCACACCGATTGCGTGAACCACGTAAATTCTTGTGTTCTTGCTTTAAATTTATCGTTTATCTTAGCCTAATCGTGATAATTAACAACAGACATATTAATATCAAGTTCTGCCACTTTTTAAATAAATTGCCTGTGTACATAAACAACTAGGAGGGTTTTGTTTACATTTTGTGTACAACTTGTGTACACTAAGAATTTCCCATAGTAAATTGTTCGATGTTAGACTGTTAAAATCTCAATCAATTCCATACAAATCCTTTAAAATCTCAATCATTTAAAATCTTGTGAAATCCTGATTGAGGACACCCCTTAGTTAGGGAGTGTTTGCAACAACTTAAAAAAAGCACTTCTCACCATTTGGCTTAAAAAACACTTATTTACCAAACACTACCAATTTTTACTTTTTCTCGTCTTGCGTGTGAAAAGTGATTTTCCCTTTTCTATTACACAAAAGCACTTATTTTACAAAACACTACCAACTTTTACTTTTCAAAATCACTTTTTTATCAAACACTATTAACTTTTACTACTAATCACTTTTTCCTGACATATTCATAAGTGTTTTTTAAGCAGAAACAGTTGTAAACACCCTCAGAACTCCAAATCATTTACTTTTTCTGCTAATATTCTACTTCAGCAATTTACCGTTCTGACACCAACCTACTATAGTACTATCCCGATGATGCACTAAATTCATCAATCTTTCATGGCCACGTTTTTCTTGCTTCAACATGTACTAAACCTATCAAATACTCTCTTTAGAATATACTCCGTACGTAGTACCTTAATTTATGACTATACATTTAGATTTATTAATAGTACCTGCGATGTACGAGGTATTTTCCATTGGTTGAATATATTTTTCCAAATATTTAAAATTAATGTTACTCTAATAAATACGCGGAGTAAAAATTGATAGCAAGTAATCTCTATAAATAATCCCAACTTTTAATTTTTACGCTTAATTTCTATTTAAAATTTTCTTGTTATAAGAGGTAATATCTGATCATGAATCATTATTGGCTGACGGTCCATATAGTTGGGATTATACAAAAATAATCAATAGTTGAGATTATTGTCAGCGGACCGACAATAGTTAAGATTATTATTTTCAACTTTTCCTAAAACATAATAGTAAATCTAAAAACATTATAATTGTGAGTGTTGGTTAGTATCTTTGAATTGTGTCAACATTTTCAATGCATGGCTGCTTGTACTTTGTTACTCCGTATTAAAGTCTGATACTCTAATATTGATGGATAAAATAAGCCCCAAATGCCGTTAGATGTAATTAACGGATTGGAATACATAGAGTACTTTTTAAATGCACTCATATCATACTTACGATCAAAAAAATGCACTCGTACTTTTTAAATACAAGGGTATAACCCTAATTCGGAAGCCCACCCCTAGTCGGATTTGCCAAATCCGACTCCCGTAATATGATAACCTAATTTGAACTCCCGTATTTTGGCTTGTGAGACGGGAGTTTCCCGTATTTTGATAAAAAACTCATAAAAATCCATAACATCCATAATTAGAAACATACCTTAGTTGGATACATGGACAAAGATCATCATAAACATCCACAAAACTCATAGAAGTTGTGCATCTACTTTCCAAGAGTAGAAATTGTCGATCGTTTATTGAGTGGAAATAGTTACATAGCAGTGCCTGCTCATTTTGTTTCATAGGTAATATTGATCAATACAGAACGTGTAAAAGTTGAGAACGTGATTCACCAGTTCTATACCAACTTCAGCAAACTCATGAGCAAATAGTATTTGTGCCCTCTGGCCGGCTTTTATTTGTGCCGATTGCAATTTGTAGTTTATGTTTTTTAGGGCAAAACTGCCACTCCGAATTACTTCTGAATGGTTGTGCCGATTAGCTTTTTTTATATATATTAAAACTACCGTATGTAACTGTCGTATGGAGTAGTTTTGTCTTGGTTTCCTTTTTTATACTAGTATAGATAAGTACATCCATAGGGATTGGAATGTGTGCATTTATGAGGAAGCACCATTTATAATTCCTATATATATTCACATTGAAAATAAAGAATATTTTTTTCCTTGATGATAAATAGAGTATCCTTGAAATGATTTAGTTTTTTTAAAGTGGTTGATCTTTTAAAGTTGTCCTTGAAATGTCTAAAGTCTAAACTAATAAATTATACTAAATTATTAAAATATTTTATACTTAAATATTCTTGGTTCTAACTTTTAGAGGGATTGTATTAATTACAAAAAAACACCATTTATTAATTTAGAAGATTAAGGATATGTGTAGTGAGATCCAAAATGAACCGCTGTTATTGAGTCTTTATCTCTAAAAATTGAATTGCCCGAAGCTACTGAATTGTGAACTTAGCTATTTTTCTTATATTTTCTTGTTGTAGTCAATTTAGCTATTTTCTTATAAATTTATGGTAAATATGAACTCATCAATCATCTTAATTAATTAGTTCAAAGATCAATGTCAATGAAAGATGTTTATTATATTTAGTGATTAACAAAATTACATACACCATAACCATGAATAGTTTATAAGAATATTAAGTAATATTGGAAAACAATGAAAGAAAAGATGAAGAGAGAGAATCTCCTCCATCTCTCTAAAAAACAAGCAAACTCTTGAACTCGTTTACAGAGTTCCGGCGCCCCGAATGCCGCCGGAATTACCAACCCCTACTCAATGAAAACCAGTGCTACACGCGAGGGCACTCTCCTCGTTTCAGTGAAAGGAACAGGGACATTCACTACCACCATTATACACACCCTCAATCCAGACTCTTCAAAAACAATTGCAGGAATAAGTTCTCTGCATCTCATCTCAGGTAAAGAGTACGAGCCAAACGAAGACTCTTATCCCACATGGGCTGACCTCTTTAAATCCAATGACAGATATGACCCGGTTGCTCCTCTCTCAGCCACAACTCCCGCAAGTCCCAAAGCTCTTTCAATTATAAAATTCTCAGCCACCAACCCCATTATTAATCAGGATTTGGATTTTTGCTCCCAAGATAAACAATTAATCACATTAGAGAAAGGACCTCCTTGGACACGGCAGAGAGTATTCATACTGAATCAGATTCTTTGACTAAGGAATCAGAAAACTTCTATTTCTTCGGAGAAGAAGGGATTGACTCAATCCGGATTGACTCTAAGCTTTTCAAGTTCGCAACCAGATACAACGAAGTGGTCATCTTTGAAATAAAAAAATCTTTACTCCACAAGATTAACTTCAATTTGGATCTTGTCCCTCCGATTATCCGATTTATCTCCCAATTGACCAGTACTGACCACGCAATTTTACGGCAGCATAGGAAATTCAGTCCAATCATGGTTTCCTCAAAATATAACAAATCATGCTGTTATTTGGTCATTGCTAAGGAAAGGGGAGCTCTATCATTATTCCTATGGGTCCAGAAAAGTCCAGTCTGTTAAATTTTTTGGCAGTTTTATCTAATTTTGTTGGAAAACCTCATTCAGTGCAGGAGGAATCAATGCATTCGGAGCACCAGTCTTCACCCGACCCTGATGAAATGACTTCCATTTCTACACTCATATTCAATTTTGAAGTGCGAAGAGCCTATGAAGAGAAACAACAGCCCCATTCTTCAGAAAAACAACCCATTATACCTCTTTTACAGGCCTACTCAGATGCCTCAGACAGCTATGACCCACCAGCCGACTCTTACTTTTCAGACGACTTTCTGAGACACACAACAGAATGCGACCGTCATCCACCTATTTCAGAACAAGAAGAAATTAGGGACTCTCAATTCAACAGAGCGATTTGCCGTAAATCTCTGCTCATTACCTTAGATAAATGCCTACCAACTGACAATTTGAACACCCAGCTAAAAATTTATTGGAAATTCCAGAAGAATAAAAGGCGTCATAGCCTAAGAACGAGGTCTCAGACCAAACAATTTCCATGAGCCTAGTTATTTTTTTCCCCTTCTGTTCTTTTGTATTTTTCTTTTTTCTTCATTGTTTTTTATTCTCGCTCTGTACCCTTCATTTTTATCAATAAAATATGTTTTTCTCAAAAAAGAAAAAATTAAGTAATTTTGATTGGTGATAGATGCATGCTTCAAGTTATGTTAAACTTGAGATTTTAATGTGAAAAGCTGCTCTAGTATAAATTATTATTAAGCATTATTAATGTTCAAATTGTATTGTTGGGCATCGACTCTCGCGCATTGCGCGTGAAAACACTAGTTCTATTCAATAAGCAACATTATATAACACAAAAAAATTGTTTTACAAATTCTAAAACACTTCATTATATACATTTTAGAAAAATCAAAACATATAAGTTCTGTTAGAATATTTGTATATGAGCAAGGGCGGAGCTAAGAGAGGGCCAACTCAGGCTCAACCCAAATTTTAAAAATGTCTAAATTTTTAGTTTAAAAAGATCCATGTAATTGATTTTTAAAATATTCTTTGTATCGACCTAGTCTGACACAGTGTTCTGGCTCTACCCCTGTCTATGAGCCTCTTGAATATATTCAAAGAGCATAAAACTTTGTTTGTATTTTGCTCATATTATGAACCATTTCTTTATCTCACTCGGTTAAAAGTAAAAATTGCTCAAAGTAAAAGTAGATATCATGTCTCATGGCGCAAATGGCCGGAAACTTAATTAATTGTATACTACCTAATGATCAACCAAAAATATTAATGGTTTTTGTTGTACGTACTTCAGTTAATATTATATATTACATAGTATATAATAGAGATAATTCCCTAAATAGGAGTAAACAGGGGCGGAGCCAGGACACTGGGCCAGACTGGGCCGGTACAAAGAATATTTTTGGGAAAAAATTTACACGGAATTTTTTACACTAAAAATATAGAGATTTTTAAAATTTAGGCTGGGCCAGGGCCAGGGGTGGCCACCCCTAGCTCCGCCCCTGGGAGTAAAATATAGGCAAAATGCACAAATAGGAGTATCATGTTTTGAATAGGAGTGACTTTGATGTTTGGACGAGGTTACCCCTACCCAAGCCCCAAACCCCAACAACTTTCATTAATAATTAAAACATAAAGGGAGAACTACCAAATAAGCCCTCGAACTTACACAAAAAGTGCAAATCACCCCTTATATAGGAGGTTCTATCCGGTCATTTCTATTTGGGGCGGTTCCCGATGGAAATTTTTGATCAATTTTTTTAGCATCTTATTCATTAATTCTGGTTTACTCATACCAAATTTCAGCTAAAAATTCAACCGGGAAGACAGTCAATTGATTTTCTGAAATATACTGCACTGTTTAACTACGCACTTATTTTCAAAAATTCATTTGACTGCATTTTAGATTGAATTTTTAGCTAAAATTTGGTATGAGTAAACTAGACTTAATGAATAAGATGCTCAAAACATTTCATCGAAAAATTCCATCGGGAACCGCCCGAAATGGCGACGACTGAAGAGAGCCTCCTATATAAGGGGTGATTTGCTCATTTTATATAACTTCGAGGAATTATTTGGTAGTTATCCCAAACTTAAAAGAAATAAGATTAATTAATTCATAATAAAATTGTAAAAAAAAAAAAAACATAAAAAAATACTCCGTATTAAATAAAATAAAAATTATTAAAATAAAAAAATAAAAAATAAAAAACTAAAAAAATTAAAATAAAAAAATAAAAAATGAAAAAAATATAAAAAAATATGTGGGCGTATGCCGCCGCCTCAACAACCTCCCAGCACCACCAGCTCCGACCACCGAAAAAATGCCAACATTTCCCGAAATGCTATCATGATGGCAGATTTTGATAAAATTTGGCATTTTCAAAGAGTAAAACTTTCATCTTTACGGCATTTTTCAAAGAAAAATGGCTGTATGCCATACTGTCATTTTTGAAAATGCAGAATTTTGTCAACTCTTTGTGATTCCTTGAGTTCAGCATCCGATGCATCTGCATATTTCTGTTGTCTTTCTTCAAAGTCTTTTCTGATGGGTTGCAGCCTTTCTCTCACAATCTTCAGTGACCCATCACAGTACTTGTTGATTTCATCAATCACCAACAGACGTTTCAAGTAGATGATTGTGATCGGGCTATCGAATATGGAATATGCTGGAAAATCTTCAAGCTTTGGTCCGTATAACTTTGGTCTTGCAAGATTTGTCTTTGGCAGATTGGTTTCTAGGGCCATCTGAAGATCATGGGTAGCAAAGAATTTGACTGGTCTGATCATGAAGCGCTTGAGTGCATCAAAGCCTTTTTGTGTAGATCTGTCGCGTGTAACGGGAAGTTCTTGGAATGCTAGGAACATCTGATAGATGTCATCCATCTTCCGCATGTAGAGGTCATTTTCTTTGCAAGTGAATTCAGTCGCGTCAGAGCGCTGTAGGTGATAAACAGAAAATGTGATATCTTGATGATTGACTTCAGCTACGTTCAGGATATTCCATACTAGATCCTTAGCAGTTGGTTGTTGGCAACTTGGCATTGGCACAATATACACCTTTTGATCATTAATGTACAATATGTACTCGTATATTTTTATAATTATGCCAGAAGTCTTCTCATAAATTAATATTAATAAGTAAGTATGTCAAATTAACTTTCCAATAACAGAAACTTGGAATATGAAAATGATCAAAAAAGAAGCGATCAAGTGAAACGGTGTTACCTCATAGTTCAAACGTTGTCTGGCCGTAGTGGTATCTTCGGCCCTCAGGAGAAGAAACAGCTTCTTCACATTTGGCTGAACTCGAAGAACTTTCTCCACAAAAACTGCAACCAAAAATTGAAGAATTTAGCTGTGAAAATGAAATCACCCCATATATGTATGTATGCAAGAGGTACTTTAAAAAATATACACTTTTTTAAATTCGTATGATTGATTTACCCAGATTATATATGCGAGTCAAGTAGAATGTAATGACTAATTTGTGCTAATGTATTACATTTTTTTATTTTTTTTATTGTATTTTGAGAAAATACACCATAAATCTTAGTCTTCGGTACGTATACACCACAAGAAGATCCACGGAGCCTATATTAAAATATTGAAGATGAGATTCTTCAAATACTCCATAGTAGTACATATGTACACAGATATCCTAATAATATAGGTAAATGATTGTATATTTGATTGTGTGTGCATGCACATAAAGTGTTTCATCTATATAATGTTTACAAAGTGTATATTGTTATACAAAAACATAGTATAACACTACGTATGTATGTATGTAAGAGGTACTTTAAAAAATATTTAAGAGGTACTTAAAATAAAAAAGGCGTTTATATTGCTATATATAGTGCATTTTTATGATCACTTTCATGCAAACTTTCACAATTGTAAAAGTTTCAAAATTGCTTTCAAAAAGTGCACTTCTTGCAATTTTGTAAAATGCAGTAATCGACTCATCGTTTGTTTTTACTTCTGACTCCATTTATCTAATTAATAAGGGGTTCTTCTACGGTGCATCTTAAAATTTAGTGGATTTTGGTACCTACCCTTTTCTGACCAATCGCCTTGTGACAAATTGACACATCACAATATTTCTATAATTTAAAATTTAATGCCCGCATTAATAAAAGCTTCAACACGACTTCGTACACCCAGAAAACAAGAGGCAGTCCGGCTACTCGGCGAGGTCTGCAATACCAGCAGAGAAACAGGCTAGGGATCGTGGCCGGCGATAGTGGTGAAAACTGAAAAGCCGTGAGCGAACCAGCAGTACGTGATGGAGGCATAAACTGATTTGGTGGAAGTCCAGGGTGTGGACTCTTCGAATGCCAGGGAGGAGTTATTGGTAGACCAGCTACGGAGAAGAAAAAATAGATTCTAATAGTCGGCTTCTCGTCATCGGCGCCAAGGAACTACACAACACGAGCAATTTTGGAGTGACTAATATCAGGAAGATGTCGACGTGGAACTATACTTAATTTGATTGGTTTAAAATTCTTGGGTACCGGTACCTCATATATTTTAAGAGGTACGATAGAAATTTAATAAGATATCTGACTCCATTTATCTAATTAATAAGATATCTAACTATATTTACTTGAGTGATTTACCTAAATAAGACTAAAAGTTTATGAAATTGCAAAAGTAGGACTCTAACATTTTATAGCGTTTTATAGGACTAAAAGTACCAGAGCTTGACAAAATTGCCCTTGATATAAAACTCCAACGTTAATTTCACTATCTCAGCGGCTATCTTCCAGTCGTAACCATTCTCTATCAAAAGTATCGCAGCCATCCTCTACCAAAAGTGCCGCAGCCATCCACTAGAAAACCATCACCGTTGTTGCCCTTCACGTAGACCGCCGCCGCTTCCGTCAATGCAACCACTATCCAGCGATTCGTTTCCTATATATTCCCGACAAGATTGCGATCTTATTTGATTTTTGAAAGTTTCAAATGAAGATAAATCTAAACTTGAATTTCTTATTATCAATTTTGATTAATTTGAATCTCAAAATGCCTTGACTAATGATTCCAGAAAATGTCACTTTTTGAATAAGAGAATATCAAAATTATCGGGTATTTTTACAAAATGTCACTTATATGTCATTACAATATTTGTAAATGTCATATTGAGAATGTCATGTTTCTATACGAAAATGTCATTATTGTGACATTCTCGCATATCAAGTGGCATTCCTCATGGAGGTCTTCACAGACTCACTGGAGGGTAGAAAACAAACATTTATTTGTCAAACTGGCAAAAATATGGCATTTTAAATTTTGTAATTTCAGATTAAGATTGCCATCTGGTTAGGTGTAATGATATAATAGTTGCAATTTTTTCTAATAACCAGTCAAATATGGCATTCTCAGATTCCTAATTAATCAATGTTAGTAAATAAATAATTCTCAAATTCAAATTGTTCGTTCATTGAAAGTGGAATCCTCTCTGTTCACCTAAATGTTTAAGAATCTGAATAGTTTTTTATTTAATCTGAAAAATTAAAGTAAAAAAAAAGCAATATGGAATCAAAATAATCTTAAGAAGAAGAAAACAGAGCATGAGGAAGGAAGTTGAGAAGAACAAGAAGAAGAGGAGGAAGAAGAAGAAACTTGAGAGGATAACCTGTCTTCATTGCAGAAATCGTGTGGCCGGCGTCGAGCGGGAGGGCGGCTGCGGTCGAAGGTGGAGGCCTGCGTTCCATCGCAGGGAGAGAAGCTGCGTTTGGGAAGGAATCACTGGT